GAGAGAGAGAGAGAGAGAGAGAGAGAGAGAGAGAAACTATAGCTTGCACAAAGCAATTCTACAGTCATCATTGGTTCCTTATAGCTGTTCTGTAAATTTTATTGTCCTTCCCACTTTACAGATGAAGAGTTAAGCTGATAAATAAGAGAGCTGGGATGTCATACAAATATGTCCCTGTAAGCAAAGGATTTATGGTTTCAGGAGAGAAAATAGAGATGCGTGAAACAGTGATGAGTAGCACACATAAGTTCTGGAGGAGTTCTAAAGAATTCAGAAGAGGCTGCGATGGTAGGGACTGGCTCCTTTGAGTCTGAAGGCTGTTCAGAAGGATGGGTGGGAACTCTGCAGTTCCTACTCTGCTGATACAAGGATCCTCTGGACATGTGGACAACTAAATGAGGTGGGGAGCGGACATGGGCTTTTCTAACCACAGTCTGAGTGGAGCAGAGGTGGCTGTAGAGAATAGTGGCATGTACAATTGAGGATGAAGCCCTTGCTGTGGGTAGGTGGCATCAAAGAAGGAACTCTTTAACTGGTTTTAACTTTTATTCTCTGTGGACCTACAATATCTCTCATCAGATGTGAGGGTTTGTATCTGAGTAATTCAGATTGTACAGTTAAGGAATTTATGTTTGCCTTTTGGGTAGCAGGCCTGTCCCAGTCTCTAAGGGTATAAATATTAAAAAGTGGCTCTCAGGGAGCCTTCAGGAAAGGGCCACAGTCACTATAGTACCCTGGGTTGGAGTAGTTGGTCAAGTGTTTATTGTTACCCTGTCATATGCCTCACATGGACATTCTAACCTGGTACTAGTTAGTTTAAAACTTACTCAAGACCACAGCGTGACATAAGTATTTCTGTATTTCTTTTTATCCAGTGCTGATGATTGAACCCCGAGCCTTGTCCACGCTAGAGCTTGAGCCACACCCCAAGCCCTTTGTACATTGTATCCATTCTCCCTGCATTCTGAAAGATGTTTTTTTTTTTTTTTTTTTTTTTTTAATAGAATAGGTGGCTCAGAGAGTGAGCAAATATCTTAGTTACTTTTCTCTCCTTGGTGAGGCAAAATACCAAACACCCAAAGTAAAGGGGGAAAGTTTATTTAGCTCACAGTTTGTGGAGAGGTTTCAGTTCATAATTGGCTGGCTCCGAGGCAGGGTGGAACATGGCAGAGGGCATCAGTTCATGGCGGTAGAAGACAGCAAAAGCAACCTTATATGTATACAGGCTGTCCACTCTAGGGCAGGTATAGCACTCACATCCTTCACTTTAGCATCGGACCATGAATCAATAGCAAACTCTATTCAGCCACCTCTGAAAAATCTGCCCCCCACTGACTGCATGAGGCAGACACAAACCATAACAACAAGCAATGGTGTAAGTTGTTAATTGTGGAGGAAGAAAAAGTATTTATTTTTATTTCTTGATTTTTCTCTTTTGAAATAAATTTCAAAATGTTACTACTTAATTTTCCCCT